TGGAGCGGTCGGCGACGCTGGGCACCACGCCGTACCAGCTGCTCACCGGGAAGAAGCCGGACTTGTCGCTGGCCCGCGTGTGGGGCTGCATGGCGCAATTCCTCGTCCCCGAGCAGCAGCGTGGTGGGAAGCTGAAGCCGAAAGCCCGGTGGGGCCTTCATCTCGGCGTATCGGAGGAGAGCAAGGGATGGGAGCTCCTCGACATCGCTGCCAACCGGGTGGTCACCACGTCGGACGTGGTGTTCTACGAGGACATGTCGTTGGAGGTGTGGAAGTCGGAGCACGGGCCGGTGTCCGGACGGACGCCGACCACCCCACCAACCGACACCTCCACGGCGACGCTGCCTCTGCTCGCTGAGGTCGGTGAGCTTGCTTATGCGGACGCCGAGGTCGTCCACCCTTCCCCTGCCCCTCCCCTCGTCGCTGATCTGCATGGGCTGACTCCGGCGTCGGCCTCCGGCGATGAGGGGAGCAGTGGGGCGTCGCCTGTGGCGCCGACCAAGAGCATCGCCGGTGGCCGCTGACGCCCAGCAAGTCGGCCTGAAAGCGAAGTCGACAGAAGGGACGCCGGGGAAGCAGCAGGCAGCAGCGCGGCCGACCCAGGAGCAGTCGGCGACCTGGCAGTCGGCAGGGGAGCTGACCGCAGGGGAGACATCGGTTGGGACGCCGACCGAGGTGCAGCAGGACGAGCTGATCGAGGTGCAGCAGGACTCCGAGGACGGTGGAGCCGGCGAAGCTGCAGGGGAGCTGCCGGACGCTGAGCAGGCTGCCGACGGCGACGAAATGGAGGTTAACCCCGAGCAGCCTGAACTGCGGCGTTCGGGACGAGTCCGGAGGCCGCCGGAGCGGCTAACCTACCATGTCTGCCTCCCGCCGGCCGCCTTCACCACGCTGTACGACAATGACGACGACGACCTGGCGTACGACGACGCCGACGAGGACGAGGAGTTTCCAGAGCTCGACCCCGACATGCACGCCGACCCCGAGCACCGCTGGGACATCGCGACGATGACGGTGAAGGAGGCGTTGGCAAGCTGGAAGGGCCCGGCGGTGAAGGCCGCCATGGAGGAGGAGATCCGCAGCCTCATCAGCAACGGCACGTGGGAGCTGGTTGAGCGGCCCCCTAGCGTCAACATCATGAAGAACCGGTGGGTGTTGACGACGAAGTACCACATCGACGACACCGTCGAGTGCGAGAAGGCGAGGCTGGTCGTGAAAGGCTTCACGCAGGTGTACGGCGCCGACTACGACGAGACGTACGCGCCGGTGAGCAGCTACGTCACGCTGCGGATCTTCCTCAGCATCGTCGCCGTCCTTGACCTCAACCTGATGCAGCTGGACATGAAGAACGCCTTCCTGCAGAGCAAGCTCGACCGCGTGCTCTACATGTACCAGCCGGACTACTTCAACGACGGGTCCGGCCGGGTGTGTAAGCTGCTGAAGAGCCTCTATGGGCTGAAGCAGTCGCCGCTGCTGTGGTATTTGGCGCTCAACGACGTGCTGGTCGGCGCCGGGTGGAAGAAGAGCCAGGTCGACGAGGCTCTGTACTTCAAGGTCGGCGACGACGGTGTGGCCTGCTGGGTGTTGGTCTACGTCGACGACCTGCTCGCCGCCAGCAGCAGCACCGCGATGCTGAGGGAGCTGAAGGAGCTGCTGGAGGCCGCCTTCGAGCTGCGCGAGATCTCGCCGGTGTTGAAGTACCTCGGCCTATAGATCGTGCGCGACAGGCCGGCGAGGAAGCTGTGGCTGCACCAGCAGGGCTACGCCGACAAGCTACGTAGGCGCTTCCTCGACCAGGAGCAGACTGGGCGCACGCCGAAGACGCCGGTCTCGGTCGACGCCTACGCCGAGCTTACCTTCGACGACGAGGAGGCGCAGGAACGACAGGAGGAGGAGTACCAGCAGAAGGTCGGCTCGCTGCAGTTCGCGGCGACGACGACGAGGCCGGACATCGCCTTCGCCTACAGCAAGCTGGGGAGCGGCCTCACGGTGAGGAGCGACCAGCACTGGCGCGAGGTCGACCGCTGCCTCGCCTACCTCGCCAACACGCGCGACACCGCCCTGGAGTTCGGCGGTGGTCCGGAGACGCTCGAGCTGGTCGGCTACGTGGACGCCGACGATGCCGGCTACGTGGACGCCGACGATGCCGGCGACAAGCAGAACCGGACGAGCACGGGCGGCTACGTGTTCGTCTACGGAGGGGCCGCGGTCTCCTGGTTGAGCCAGCGCATCAAGTGCGCGACGCTGTCGTCGACCGAGTCGGAGTACGTGGCGGCCGTCGACGCCGGGAAGGAAGGACGCCGACTTCGCTTCCTCCTGGCAGAGTTCCGGCAGCTGGATGCCGGGAAGCCGACGGTCCTTCGCGTGGACAACAAGTCGGCCATCACAGTCGCCGAGGGCATGGGGTTGACAGGCAACCTCAAGCACATGGAGCGGCGACAGGCTTGGCTGCAGCACATGGTGAAGCGGGGGAAGTTTGCGCTGCAGTACATCCCGACCGATGAGCAGCCAGCCGACTTTCTGACGAAGGCGCTGCACTACCCGGCCTTCAACCGGTGCTCCGTCGCGATCGGCCAAGTGCGCCTGGCCGAAGTCGGCGACGGCGACAACGACGTGCAGCAGTAGGTGCCATGCCCTCTTGCATGGCTGGTGCGGTGACCGGCGTGCTGTGTGTTGTGTGCACGCCGCCGAACAGTGCTGCCATGTGGGCTAGGAGCCCAAGCGTGAACGTGGCAGGGGAGTGTCAACGGGAGTTGTGTTCGGCCCCGTCCTCGCTTGGGCGGAGCCGACCTCGTGGTCGGGTGTACGGGGGAGGTGCAGCCGATGTGCAGCAGTGGGCACGGAGGCCACTGCCAAGGCGTAGTGTTGGGGGGCGCCTGGCTGGAGGGCGCCGAGCAGGTGGACGCCGTCCTTGGCGTCTGGACAGTGTCCTGGGTGCCTGCTCGGCGTCCTGGGCGCCTGGACGCCGACCTGGGCGTCTGCTCGGCGTCCCTGGGCACCAACTGGGGCCTCTGCTAGGCGTCCTGGGAGGTGGGACGCCGACCTGGGGGTCTGCTCGGCGTCCCGGGCGCCTGGACGCCGACTTGGGCGTCTGGACGGCGTCCTGGACGAATGGACGCCGACCTGGACGTCAAGAAGCCGACCTGGGACGCCGGGTTTGATGTAGCCGGCGTCCGACTGGGCTGGACGACCAGGCAGGGTTGCCCTGTCGACCGCGATACCCTGGCGACGTGCGCGAATGTCGTCGGGGTGGAGACTGCGAGACCGACCTCGGGGGTGGTATCCCGAGGTCGACGTGGCTGGTGGGCGCAGTCACTGGCGTGGAGTCTGGCAGGCGTCTGCGCTGTGCTCGTGGCAAGGAGTGGAGCACCAACCAGCCGCGCGCACCTGCGAAGCAGGTGCACCGTTGTCCTGCGGGCGCTGCGGAGATAACTCTAGCAACGGGAGCTTGACTACGGGGAAGGCACGTGTGTGAGAGGGATCTCTGCGTTCGTTCACTTAGTCGTTTCTTGGTGCGCACACTGCTTGCTAGTTCACGGGGAGAATTGGCAAGAGTTCCACTAGGACAGCATCACAACAAAGGTTCAGAATGATTGCAACAACATTGGCAACATTGACTACATCAGAGCTAGCACAGCTGCTGGTCGACCTCCAGCGCAGCACGGTCGACCGCGCTCCAGCGCAGCAATGCTCGCACCGCTCCAGCGCTGCAGAGCTGCGGCGCGCCAACGTTGCAAGTCTGCGGTGCGCCAACGCTGCAGCAAGTCGGCTGCACAGCGTTGCACCCGCATGACAACGGTGCACCTGCTTCGCAGGTGCGCGCAGCTGGTTGGTGCTCCACGCCTGGTCACGAGCACAGCGCAGACGCCTAGATCAAGCCCACGCCAGCGACTGCGCCCACCAGCCACGTCGACCTCGGGATACCACCCCCGAGGTCGTCCTCGCAGAATCCGCCCCCGGCGACCTTCGCAGCTGTCGCCCGGGTATCCCGGTCGACCGGGCAACCCTGCCTGGTCGTCCAGCCCTGCCAGACGCCGACTACACCAAGCCCAGCGTCCCTAGGTCGGCGTCCTAGAGTCCTGGTCGGCGTCCTCTCGCCCAAGACGCCGTCCAGACGCCCCAGTCGGCGTCCAGACGCCCGGGACGCCGAGCAGAAGCCCAGGTCGGCCCAGGACGCCGTCTACATCAATCCTGACGTCCCAGGTCGGCGTCTTGACGTCCAGGTCGGCGTCCATTCGTCCAGGACGCCGTCCAGACGCCCAAGTCGGCGTCCAGGCGCCCGGGACGCCGAGCAGACCCCCAGGTCGGCGTCCCACCTCCCAGGACGCCTAGCAGAGGCCCCAGTTGGTGCCCAGGGACGCCGAGCAGACGCCCCGGTCGGCGTCCAGGCGCACAGGACGCCGAGCAGACGCCGAGCTGGGCGTCCGCCTCCCAGGACGCCGTGCAGATGCCCAGGACGCCGCCCAGTCACTAAGGACGGCGTCCACCTGCTCGGCGCCCATGCACTGGCCCCCGTGCTCACTGCTGCAGGTCGGCTGCATCCCCCGCGCACCCGACCACAAAGTCGGCTCCGCCCAAGCGAGGACGGGGCCATACAACACTCCCGTTGACAGGCGCAACGCTGTACAGCCGACTTGCTGCAGCGTTGGCACACCGTGGACTTGCAACGTTGGCGCACCGCATCTCTGCAGCGCTGGAGCGGTGCGAGCATTGCTGCGCTGGATCGCGGTCGACCGTGCTGTGCTGGAGGTCGACCATCAGCTGTGCTAGCTCTGATGTAGTGATGCATGCCAATGTTGTTGCTATCATTCTGAACCTTTGTTGTGATGTTTTCCTAGTGGAACTCTTGCCAATTCTCCCCGTGAACTAGCAAGCAGTGTGCGCACAAGGAAACGACTAAGGAACGAACGCAGAGATCCCTCTCACGCACGTGCCTTCCCCGTAGTCAGGCTCCCGTTGTACGATTTCTCTCCACAGCAGCGGCTATTGTTAAGGAGTGGATGCCGAGAGCTCAAAGGGAGAGCGGACACAAGGTGAAGGTGATCCGCAGCAACAACGGGGGAGAGTTCATTGGCGCTGATTTTGAGGCGGTGCTGAAGAAGAAGGAAATCCAAGATCAGCTCACGGTGCCTTATAACCCTCAGCAGAACGGCGTGGCTGAGCGGTTCAACCGGACCCTGCAGGAAGGTGCTTGCACTCTCCTTGGGCGTGCAAGGCTGTCGAATCCGTTTTGGGTCACTGCACTGCGGCAGGTCGCTGTTGTGAAGCAGTGGATCCCCTACACCAAGTGGTATGGGAGTGCACCAGCAGTCAACATGCTGAGAGCCTACGGCTGCATGGTGGTGTTTCATGTGCCGAAGGAGAAGAGGGGAAAGTTGGAGGCTTCTGGGAGATTGGGTGTACATTTGGGGCTTGCAAAGGATCATAAGGGCTGGTTGATATGGGACTTGACCAGCCAGCAGCTGACTGTGTCGAGGGATGTGAAGTTCCTCGAGTCCTTGTACTACAAGGAGTGGAAGCAGCAGCAGCAGAAGCTTCCTACGACACCGCTGACCATTGAGGCTGATGAGGTGCAGCGGCCTTCGAGGCAGGTGGAGGTTTCTGTCTCTGACAAGGAGAACTCTGGAGTGGCTGAGGATGGAGAAGAACCTGACGTGGAGGAGCAACAGTAGCAGCCGCAGCAGCAGCAGCAGCAGCAGCAGCAGCAAAGTGCTCCACAAGGTGCCGCACGTACGGCTGACCGTCCTAGGAGGGATGTGCGCCCTCCCAACCGGCTGACCTATCCGAGCTTTGGGAAGCCAAAGGTAGTGCGGGCTGGGAGTGTGGCTGAGCAGTGTGATGAGGAGGAGATAGCGCACTGCTACTGGGCAGCCGTCCCCGAGCCCAAGACGCTTACCGAGGCCTTGAGTGGGCCCGATGCTGAGAAGTGGAAGCAGAGTGTGAAGGAGGAGTATGACTCTCTGCTGGAGAATGACACGTGGGAGCTGTGTGAGCTGCCCCCTGGGAAGAAGGCAATCTCTTCGAAGCTGATTTTCAGGCACAAGTACGGACCTGATGGGGAGCTGACCCGCTACAAGTCAAGGCTTGTGGCTAAGGGGTTCCAGCAGACGAAGGGGAAGGATTTTGACGACATCTTTGCTCCTGTGGGGAAAGGGACTACACTGAGGACGATGTTGGCAATGGCTGCAAACCGTGGATGGAAGATCAAGCAGATGGACATCATCACTGCCTTCCTCAATGGGATCATTCTGGAGGAGCTATACATGCTGCAGCCTGAGGGGTTGGATGATGGGAGCGGCAGGGTGTGCAGGCTGAAGAAGGCCATCTATGGCCTGAAGCAGGCTCCTCGTGCATGGTACCACAAGCTGGAGGAGACACTGCTGGCTGGGGGATTCAAGAAGAGCGAGTGTGATCACAGCCTGATCCTGCTGCAAGAGAAGGACGAGTTCCTCATGCTCCTGGTGTACGTGGACGACATCCTGCTCTTCTCTGAGTCGTCTGCGATGATTGAGCGTGTGGAGGAGATGCTGGAAATGCAGTTCAAGTGCATGTGGAGAGAGACCTTGACAAGGGAGTGTTGAGGTTGCACCAGAGGAAGTATTGTGAGGGGCTGGCTGAGAAGTATGGGCTGCAAGATGGAGGAAAGCCAGCCACCCCACTACCTTCGAGGTTCACTGTGGAGCCCTGTGCTGATGAGGAGGTGGTGGGAGAGAGTGACAGGAAGCTGTTTCATTCCATGGTTGGGGCGCTCAACTATGCGGCTAACCACACGCGGCCTGACATTGCGTTTGCTACATCCAGGCTTGCGAGTGTGGTGTCACGTCCCAGTCATGAGCAGCTGGAAGCGGCCAAGAGGTTGGTCCGCTATGTGAGTGCAACGGCATCAGTGGGCTTGGAGTACAGTGCTGTGCGACAGAGGCTACAGAGGGGTGCAGCTGAATTAAGCAAGGGGGAGATGCGCTTGACTTGCTACACCGACGCCAGCTTCAACTCTGTGAAGGCGGATGGCACCAGCATTGGAGGCTATGTGTGCCTGTTTGGAGGTGGTGCAGTGAGCTGGCGCAGCAAGAAGCAGAACGAGGTGGGGCTGTCCTCGTGTGAGACAGAGTACATGGCCCTTCATCATGGGGCAAAGGAGGTGGTGTGGCTGAGGCGTTTGTTGGAGGAGATCGAAATGTGCCAGAAGGAGCCGACTGTGATTTTCTGTGACAATGAGTCAACAGTGAAGCTGGCCAAGAATGCTTGCCTTCATGGCCTGACAAAGCACATCAGGCCTAAGTGGCATTGGACGAGGAGGCTCCTGGATAAGGAGGTGCGACTGGAGCTTGTGAAGACCCAACAGCAGGCGGCTGAAATTCTCTTCAAGCGCCTGGCAGAACCTGAGCACTGGAAGGGCACGAAGGTTGCTGGAATGAGCGTGCATTGAGTGTGCATGCATGAGCTGAGGCATGTGGGATGATGGTTGGCAGCCAGAGGGGGAGTTTCTTGTGTGATTCTATCATTCACATTCACGTCTGTCTGCCTCCCATCATGTGTTCGTGTGTTGCATGCGTTGTGTGAGCGTGTGCAAGAATTTGTGTTTTGTGCGGTTTGGATTTTCTGAGTGTGTGTGAATGTTATTTGGCTTGAGCAGATATCTGAAGTGACTGCTCTGCTCGAGGGCTTTCTGACGAGCCAAGAATAGTCGCAATCGGAGCACCACCTAGAAAGTTACAAACATTGGAGTTCGTATGCTTTTTTATATTTGGTTGCAGCGACTTTGGGGAGTTGTGGGACTGAATCAATATGGGGTACAGACTTTTGGGGGTTGGGAAATTCGAACCCATCACTGTAGATTGCTGCCATGTGGTTGGGAGAGCCAAACCAGGTTGGCAAGTGTGGCCAAGTTGGGTTGAGGTGGATTGTGGAGGTTGGGATAGTGACAAAGGTCAAAGTTGGGTTGCCTATGGGGAAGGGAATTGTGTGGTATGGGGTTTCCTTGGTTGGGGACTCCCTTGGGACCTTCCCTCTCATCCTCCTCTTCCCTCCCACCTGGTTTAGTGCTACTCTAATCTTCTTTGTGGTACCTGTGAGTTTATTGTGATTGAGTTAAAGTTTATATGGCAGCATACTCACCTAAATTGATAACTCGAGTTATACTCCATCTTTTGATACGATTCAAATTGGGAAACATAGCCTTAGTCAAGGGCTACAACATAACCAAGTTTGAGACAATTCTAACAGTGAACGTTTCGGCAACGACGTTTCTTGTGAACACGACGTTTCTGTCCACAGATTAGGCCTGACGATTAGGAGAAATTTGAGCTCCTAATCTTCGTTGACTCGATTCTTAATTCTATAAAACTCACTCATATCGCTAAGTAATGCACTTACTCTTAGTACCACTCATATCGCTAAGTAACGCACTTATTCTTAGTACCACTCATATCGCTAAGAAATGCACTTACTCTTAGTACCACTCATATCGCTAAGTAATGCACGTACTCTTAGTACCACTCATATCGCCATGTAACGCACCAATTTAGTCTTAGTACCACTCATATCGCTAAGAAATGCACTTACTCTTAGTACCATTCATATCGCTAAGTAACGCACTTACTCTTAGTACCAATCAGATTGCTAAATAATGCACATACTCTTAGTACCACTCATATCGCTAAACAATGCACTTACTATTAGTACCACTCATATCGCTAAGTAACGCACTTACTCTTAGTACCACTCATATTGCTAAGTAATGCACTTACTCTTAGTACCACTCATGTCGCTATGTAACGCACTTACTATTAGTACCACTCATATCGCTAAGTAATGCATATTCTAATTGTACCACTCATATCGCTAAGTAATGCACTTACTCTTAGTACCACTCATATTGCTAAGTAACGCACGTTTTATTAGTACCACCCATATCGCTAAGTAATGCACTTACTATTAGTACCACTCATATCGCTAAGTAACGCATTTACTCTTAGTACCACTCATATTGCTAAGTAATGCACTTACTCTTAGTACCACTCATGTCGCTATGTAACGCACTTACTATTAGTACCACTCATATCGCTAAGTAATGCATATTCTAATTGTACCACTCATAACGCTAAGTATGCACTTACTATGAGTACCTTTCATATTGCTAAGTAACGCACGTTCTATTAGTACCACTCATATCGCTAAGTAATGCACTTACTCTTAGTACCACTAATATCGCTAAGTAATGCACTTACTCCTTACGCACCCAATTTTAGTACCACTCATATTGCTTATTGGTGCACTTACTCTTAGTACCATTCATATCGCTAAGTAACGCCCTTACACTTAGTACCACTCAGATTGCTAAATAATCCACTTACTCTTAGTACCACTCATATGGCTAAATAATGCACTTACTCTTAGTACCACTCATTTCGCTAAGTAACGCACTTACTCTTAGTACCACTCATATCGCTAAGTAATGCACTTACTCTTAAAACCATTCATATCGCTAAGTAACGCACTTACTCCTAGTACCACTCATATCGCTAAGTAATGCACTTAGTCTTAATACCAATCATATCGCACTTACTCTTAGTACCACTCATATCGCTAAGCAGAGGACTTACTCTTTGTACCACTCATATCGCTAAGTAATGCACTTACTCTTAGTACCACTCATTTCGTTAAGTAATGCACTTACCCTTAGTACCACTCATATCACTAAGTAACGCATTTAGTTTTAGTACCACTCATATTGCTATGCAATGCACTTACTCTTAATACCATTCATATTGCTAAGTAACGCACTTATTCTTAGTACCTCATACCGCTAAGTAATGCCCTTAATTTTTGTACCACTCATATCGCTAAGCAATATACTCTTAGTACTTTTCATATCGGTAAGGAATGCACTTACTCTTAGTACCACTCACATCGCTATGTAACGCACCAATTTTTAGAACCACTCATATTGCTAAGTAATGCACTTACTCTTAGTACCACTCATATCGCTAAGTAATGCACTTACTCTTAGTACTACTCATATCGCTAAGTAGTGCACTTACACTTAGTACCACACATATCGCTGAGTAACGCACTTATTTTTAGTAACACTCATATCGCTAAACAATGCACTTACTATTAGTTCCACTCATATCGCTAAGTAACGCACTTACTCTTAGTACCACTCATGTCGCTAAGTAACGCACTTACTATTAGTACCACTCATATCGCTAAGTAATGCACATTCTAATAGTACCACTCATAACGCTAAGTAATGCACTTACTATCAGTACCACTCATATTGCTAATTAATGCACTTACTATTAGTACCACTCATATCGCTAAGTAAAGCACTTACTCTTAGTACCACTCATATCGCTAAGTAACGCACCAATTTTTTGTACCACTCATATTGCTTATTGGTGCACTTGCTCTTATTACTATTCATATCGCTAAGTAACGCCCTTACACTTAGTACCACTCAAATTGCTAAATAATCAACTTACTCTTAATACCACTCATATCGCTAAGTAACGCACTTACTATTAGTACCACTCATTTCGCCAAGTAACGCACTTACTCTTAGTACCACTCATATCGCTAAGTAATGCACTTACTCTTAAAACCATTCATATCGCTAAGTAACGCACTTACTCTTAGTACCACTCATATCGCTAAGTAATGCACTTACTCC